CATATGACAGGAATGAATTATAGCTATTATGCTGGTCAACTACATGTTTGTATAGCTTTGTTAATAGTCATGCCTGTTTGTTTACATATTGTCAGTATACTTTGTTGCTAGGGTGACAAAACTTATAACATGCAATAATACCGTAAAGCCTAAAACATTTACTGTCTGGCCCTTTACAGTAAAATATGCTGATTCTTGATATATACTCAGAAAAAGTGTATCAGCACAGAAGGTCCCAAGATAACTATTCTTTTTAAAGGAATTTATTTATGAATTTATATATTGCCCAAATGTGAAAACTGCGTTACATTATGTCTTAATGTTCCATCCAACCAAACTCATAATACATTTGTAAAGTCCTGAGGATTGTCAGATAGAGATCGTGATCGCTGACGGAAGTTATAGGCATTCAGTGATGGTGTTTTTGTGACCATTCTTAATCTCTTAAGCTAGGAGTATAGCTCAGTGACATATACGTAGAGTCCATTTCTAGCACCGCCAAAAAGTGGACCAGGGTAGCCTCTAACTTTAGCAGAGCCACCTGCCTCCGCCTCCTGAGTGCTGGGCTTAAAGGTGTGTGCCACAGTGCACAGCCTCATATGCATATTAATCAGCATCTTAAACCTATTACATTATTAGGTTTTTTTACATCCCAAACTTTATTATACTTTTTCTTTTAGATTGAACAACAGGATACAGTTTGTTATTTTCACTTTATCATTTAAAAAAGTGTTCACTATTTTGCCTTCCTCTGAAAATATGCTTTAAAAATCTTCAGTTGAAATGATAAAGCACTTGAGGAATCTTTGTTCTAACTAGCACTGAATGTATTCAGTGTATTTTTTATTCTGTTTCTAGCCTACAACTGGAGTTTTGTATAAAGAAGATAATTACATCATCATGACAACTGCACATAAAGAAAAGTACAAATGTATACTTCCTCTTGTAACAAGTGGGGATGAGGTAAGTTTTTGTACACACATTGCTCTCACCAAAGATGTATTTTACAGCCTTACAATCATATACCTTAAAGTTACATAACAATATTCTCAACAACCTTGCAGCATAAAAGTGTTAATCCCTTATTACTGTAATCTTTGATTTGGGAAATCATTTTGGAAAAATTAACAACCAGCCAGGTGTAGTGGTTCACACCTGTAATCTCAACACTAAGGCTGAGGCAGAAGGATTTTTCATGAGTTTAGCCCCAGTCTAGGCTACATTATGAAACTTTGTCTGAAATTACAAAAGCAGGAGTGGGTGGAGGGGTTAGTTATCAATGTTTTGAATAAGAAGCTAACTCTGTGCTTGTTTTCCTTTATAGACGTGGTGGTTTTAAATTACAATATAGTTTTTCAATGTAAACATAGTATTTTCATAAAGATTTCTTATAATAAATAATTCTCTGGGTAGCTTATGCTTTCTCACTGCATAGTGCATGCCCTTTTTAGTGTCCTCCTAAAATGCCCTAACTGCCTCTTATCCATCCTTCAAGGCAATGACTTCTTTCAAGATGAAACAGGAGAGGCAGCATGGTAAAATGGAAAAGACACCAGCCTAGGAGCCAGGAGGCTGAGGTATAGGCTACAGTTAGCTGTGGATCCCTGAACAAATTTGAAACTAAATTTCTCCATTAAGTGAATTTATTAAGGCAATTTACATTTTCATGGTCTGTAAAGTAGAAATATAACTCAGTGCTTTTCTTAAGTTTTGTTCATATTTGAAATCTGTCCAAGGCAGCTTCTCCATGCTATTTTAAACCCTCTTAAAACAAAATCCAAACATGTAGCCACCTATGTGGTTCAGATATGAAGTATAAAAATATGTAGGAAACTGAAAAACACCTTTTCACAGTAGAACCATTCTAAGACTTTCATAGCTAGAATTTGGGGGATATAGGTAATTAAAAATTCTGAAATAAGTTTACAAGGATTGTTCAGAAAACTGATACGCAAAACCCTTTTTAAAAAGAGAACAAATGCTATGGAAGGTTATTCCATGGCTTCATACGTTACATTTCAGTTCATTTGAAAGAAGTATCATCCCTTAGGATCTTGTTAAAGGTGTTGACTCTTTTTCTCTTTTATTTCCAAGCATTTGTGATTTAACCAATGAATTAATACCCAAACAGCAGAGTTGGGTAAAGTTGTAGAAAAATGGTATGTTAAACTCCAGTTTTTTTTTTTTTTCTAGGAAGAAGACAAGGATTATAAAGGCCCCAATCCAAGAGAGCTTTTGGAGCCACTATTTAAGCAGAGCAGTTGTTCCTACAGGGTGCGTACTCTGTGTGCGTTTGAGAGTGAGTCACCAGCAGCCAAGAGCTCCTTAAAGTGGCTTTTCTTCTTCCTTTATTATACTATGTCACATTTTAAGTTTGGTTCAGATCTTATTGCTTAATAATAAGTTGTTCATTAAAATTATATATATATAGTTTTTGTTTTTCAAGACAGAGTTTCTCTGTATAGCCTTGGCAGTCCTGAACTTGCTTTATAGGCCAGGCTGGCCTCAAACTCACAAAGATCTTCCTGCCTCTGCTTTCCCAAGTGCTGGGATTACAGGTGTGCACCACCACACCAGGCTTTAAATTCTTACATATGCAACAAATAGTACACTAATATCAAAGTATCAGTTATTAAACTAGTTTGAATATTTTTCAATTTAAAGGAAAGCTTTGTTGCCTGATAGAATTATAAAATGCTAATTGCTGTTTTTAAGGTATGTAGAAAATTAGCCAGATACTTACAGACCAAAGTATATTCCAGCTCTGTTTCTATCACATAATGTCTACACAGAGCCAGTTAGTAGAAACCACACATACTTCAGAAGTTTTGCCATTTTATGTGTCATAATTATAACTTCATAAAAGTTAATTCCAGATTTGAAGAAGAATCTTTTACTTGAATTTCAAATAAAATTCAACTGAATTATATGGCTTTTGTGTATTTAAAAACATATCTGTCTTTCTTAGATTGAATCTTACTGGACTTATGAAGTATGTCATGGGAAACATATTCGACAGTACCACGAGGAAAAAGAAACTGGACAAGTATGTTTTTCTTAAAATATTAAACATAAAATCAGAAATTTCATAATAATATTGATAGTTTTTAAGTTGTAGCTAAAGAAATATGTTTGTAACGTATTTACTGTATTTTTTTTAATGTAGAAAGTAAATATTCATGAATACTACCTTGGGAATATGTTGGCTAAGAGTCTTCAGTCTGAAAAAGGTTAGTCTCTATACAGTGATGATAGTACTACTGGGTTTTGGTTTAACATTTAAGTTCAAAGTGAAATTTAAGTCCAAACATGGTGATATATGATTTTAATTCTAGCATTTGGAAGCAGTAGGATCAGAACTTCAATGCCATTCTCTTTATATAGCAAGGCCACATGCTTAAGCAACATGAAACTGACACAAAAAAAGAAAGAAGAAATGTTTTTGGATATTACATGATCTTCTTTTTTAAACTTTATTATTACAGTTTTATTTAACATATGTGCCACTGCATGCATGAAGGAGTCAGAGGAAAACGTGTGGCAGTCAGTTCTCATTACCATGTCATTCCCAGGAGTCAAACTCCTCAGGTCTTTCATAGAAAACCACTTTGGGAACACTAACTTTAAAGCAGAGGGGCAGGCCTAAGGAGAGGGTGTTTAAACACCCAGCACATATGAGGTCCTGGCTCCACTACCCAGCAACTCTCACCCCAAAAAGCCAGTAAACAAAAGCTTGTCATGTTTTTGTCTTCTTTAGAAGTAAGTTTAAAGTGCCAAAGCTAATTTAAACGTTATTTTTATTGTATAGATGTGATTGTTTATGCTGTGTGTTTATCTTGTTCTTGCATTGCTTCCACAGAACAAGAAGCAGAAGAAAAAGAAAAGTCAAATGAGGCAAGTGATATATTATTTTTTTACACAGCATTGTTGGGTCTGACCTTAGTGACAAAAGCTAGATGCATGTTCTTTGTATGCCACAGAAAGTGGGTCAAATAAAATTCAAATATTTCTTTCCATAGAATGTGTTTTCTATGGAAAGATGCATCACTAGCTGGGCATAGTGGCTCACACCTTTAATTCCAGCACTTAGGAGGCAGAGGCAGGAAAATTTCATGACCCTGCTCTACATACCCAGTTCCAGGCCATCCTGGGCATAAGTGAGATCTGTCTCAAAAAAAATGAATAAATTATGTTATAATCCTTCTATTTACTTTTTAAATAATACCTACAAAAGCTGTCAGCTGAGACTGCTGATACATGACTGTCATCCTGAAGACTGAGGCAGGAGGGTCACAAGTTCAAGAACTTCATGGGCTTTTACAATGCAGAAGGAGAGAACCAGCTCCTGGAGAGTGGACCTCTGACTTCCACACACACAAAGAGCTACATGTGCACATACGTGCAAATACAGAAATATGATGTCAAAGAAATTAAAACAAGGAAGAGTGAAGCTATAGCCCAGTAGTAGAACACTGTCTAGCATGTGGCAATCTAAGCTTAATCTCCACTACTAAAAGAAAAATAATATGAATTATGTGTCTGTGACGAACGCTAAAATACCAGTCCATCACTTCAGTGCATAGGAATGTTGCTTTCTATGTAGCATTGGAAACAGTGGTAATAAGAGCACTTTTGTTTGTTTGTTTGTTATTCATCTTCTATGAATGTAACAGATAAACTGCATATGTAAATAGCAAGCTACACATGCTTTAAAAATAGAGGCTGAGAACAGGAACTGTCTTTTATCTCTGTGCAGAACAAAGCTACCATACATATGCGTATTGTAGGTATTTCATTTGTGTCTATCAGATGATGGTTCACAGTAGTATTGTGCAAAAGAAGCAGTTCATGTCATTCAAAGAATACTGCTGCTTCTTCCTTTTCTTCCTTCTTTCATCTTTTTTTTTTTTAAGGTCTTCACCTTTTTATTCTTTATGTACAAAGACTAGCGTGATCAATTTCACTGGGTAGACAGTCTTGAATAATCCATTCAAGGTCGCTTAGTCTAACTTAATGAAGCCTGTGTCCTTAGCGTACTGACAGAAACCCTGTTGGTACCTGTTCAGCCCATATTTCCAGATCAGACTGTGGCAGTTAGAGCAGACATGGCAGGAGCGAGGACCCTGGCCAAACTTCTGAGGATAACTCCAGTAGAGCTGCTGGTGACCCATCTTGCCTTTAGACAGCCAAGGAGGAAAAAGGCTTTTCTTCCTTTCTTTTTCTCTTCCTTCCTTCCTTCCTTCCTTCCTTCCTTCCTTCCTTCCTTCCTTCCTT